CAAGAACATATGTTCAAAATATGGCATACCGAAAATTAAATCAGCCGTTTTTGTCAAGTTCCTTGCGAATTAGAAGGATTATAAATCAAGCTCAAATCAGAAATTTGAGTTGATAGGTCGTTATTGTGATCTGGATTTTACTTTCGCTGTTTTTTGCTGACTAATTCGTCCACGCGGTCGAGTCGTCTACGAACTTCCACATGTCACTACTAGAGGTTGGTAATGCATTGATCATTATTATATTAAATATAACCACGGGCCCAATTTGTCCCCTGTGGAACTCCCGCCGGGATTTCAGCCCAATCCGAACAATCCTCTTGATTTAGCTTTACTCTCTGTTTTCTGCATGTACGAAAATCTATAATCCAGTTAATAACCCAGTGCGGTAAGTTATATGTGTGAAGTTTAGCAACCAATAAATCATGATCTATCAAGTCAAAAGCCTTCTTAAAGTCAAATGGTATGACTCTAACCGTTGCACGGTCTTTTTGTGTTTTATATGCAAATCAGTCTTAACTCATTCTCATCCGGTCGAAAAGTAGGAATTTTGAGTGGTGTTGTTTTAAATGCATATATCTTTCAAACTATACATCGTACGAAACAGAAATTGCATCGTTCGAAAGAGGAGTTCCACTTTCCAACGACACCAATTTCAATTTCATTCCGTGCTTGGTTAACGATTTGCTCGCATAAATTTGTATAAATTATGATATAAAAAAATGTTGCAATTTGCGTAAATGTATTTACCGGTTCAAATTTCAAATATGTCAAAATATTTTATGAATGTAACTGAAAGACCCGGTACTTTTATTGAATTTTTGAATAAACTAAGATCGAAGACCAGAGGAAATTTTCAAACTTAGTGTCTCTGAAATGCCATTTCGTGGACTTTGGGGGAAGTTTTGACAGAATTCTGATGGTCAGAAAACAGAGTTTTAGCACGTCGAAATTTACAATTAATTTACAATTAATTTTGGGTAATATGATTCTTTGCGGTTTGTCATTGGTAATGTAGTCGCTTAAAATTAATCAATTCAGTATTTTAATTAAAGAGTCTGGTATATTGAGGGCCCCCCCCCCCTCCCCCCCCCCGTTGCTACGGCCCTGGGAAGTAATAGACCGAACAACATTTGCCGATCTACGATTTGTTAAATGTTATCCATGTAAATGCCGTGATTTTGTAAATCAGTTTATGATACTGACAATACAATTTTATAATATTTTCTGTGTTTAAACCACTAAAATTTTGTTATACTATTACTGCCATAATTTTCCGAATGACCAACCTGATTTTCCGAATATGTTAATTCTAAAAAAGTTGGGGGGTTAACCACCCCCCCACCCCCAAATACCCTCTTCGCTACGGCTACGGCCCTGGCTCAAGGCTCATTTTACTTTGCTTAGGAATCAGAGGTTTTTATGCCTAAAACACCATAAATTTTCGTGAACAATATAAATAAATACCATTTATATTTGTCAATTTCAGTATGGAAGGATTATTTCAACACAAAAAATGCAATATGAGGACATACTTGCAGTCGTACTAGTAAGCTATACCAAATGCAAATAAATTTACGACGCCATGGCAACTACATGGCAACGGCAAAACATTGAAATGGAATGTCTAAAAATGATCAAAATACTTGCCTTGAAACTCCAGACACAACTCCCAATGCCAGGTTGAGATACCTGTCTTCGTACGAAGACATTCCGTCTTTACTAGCACTATCCGTTTGCAAAATAAAGCCAATAACGTCTTGAGGATGCGATTCAAACAATACAAGTTAATACAACACAATTATACATTACGATGCTCGTGCGCCGTGCGCGATAATCAGGAAAATTGCTCTAAAAGGTTTGTTTTTCTGCCTAAGCCAATCAAAATTCATATCTAGGGTAAAAAAAAACACTCCGGAAGTGATATCTGCAGTCTTTACCAGGAAACTGTAATACTTTACCAAGAATTTGGGCATCGAGAATCGCCATAATAGGCATAGATTATTTCGCAATTTCCCGAGACTGCTCCGAGCTATAGAATGAAAAATGGCGACTCTTTTAGTATATTTGTCTTTATTATACGTTGAAAAGAAGCAAGGATGCAAGCATTAATTTGAATCAGGCGAACATTCAAAATGCAACAGCAAAATTGGTAATGCGTCATTTGCAGCCTAGTCCCAGGCTCTATATTTAAATAAGTCTTAAAAGTTTTATGCCTGGGTGTGCTGTGCGGAACCTTTAGCGGTGACGTCACTCCTAGGTCCCAGTCTCGTACTACATCCACGTTTTTTTCTCGCGCTTGCTTCAGATCGACTGGGACTAGGCTGCGTCATTTGCATAAATTTTTCCGCATTGATCATTTCAAGGAAAGAAATTCGCTTGGAATTGAGCGAGAAACAACAAAATTATACGAATATTTCGGAATATATAGTATCGATCAAGCGGAATTTTTTGGTGGTATTTTCGTATTTCCACTGCAAATACTCGCTGAGCTCTTTAATATTTAATCTTCCCGTCATATACGTCGGAAATCAATATTGGCGGATCGAATTGATGATTACAGAGTTTTATAAAATTTTGTTGACACACTATTACATCAGCCACTTGTCGTGCCAGCAGCAACTAACGACCAAAAGGAAACTAGGCTTAAATCTTTGGACGAAGTCTCTGGGCTGAGAAATAATTGCTTACATGCGATCAAAATGTTTTATACAATGAAAATGTTTCAAAATGTTTTGTAAAACGGTAATCTATATGTAATGGATCAGCAATTAAATTTCCAACACAGTTTCTAAGATGTATTTCAAGAGATAACTTATCATTGCATTTGAGCTATTACATCAGTGGGTGTTATACTGTGCGATAAGCGAATATTATTGGAGAGAGGGTTTCCATGCATATACGTTGAAATCGCCAAATAAACAGGTCATGCACGCATTTCTCCACTTCGTTGTAAGTTTACAGAGCAGATTTTATACTTTGACACTGATCTTTCGCTTTGATGTGAACATTTATTCTTACAGTTTAAGGTTATTTAAGATTGATGCTGTCGTAAGTGTTCTACCAGCAACCAATCGACAATATTTCATTTTAGCGTTGTCGTTGCTGTTACGTTGGCTTCGTGTTACTTTTGTTTTAAATACCTTGATCACGTTAACAGAGTTATTTTTCAGACCAGTGACATAGTGATAGCCAAAAGACTTTGCATTAATGTCCTTGTGATTTTATAGAGATATCTCTAGAACTGAGGATTTTAGAAAGCGTTATCTGTACTTTCTCAAAGTTGCAAACAAGACATGTTGTTTACGTCCAACACGCATAAGATTGATTGCATAATTCAAAATGATTCGAGCAAAACCGGTCTTTTGTTGAAAGGATGACTGGTTAATAGAAATTGGTTCTTTTGAGTGACATATATAATCGTGTATCGTCATCGATCTATGTCGTTGAACAATGCATAGCATTTAAATTGGTGTTTATACTGCACACATCAGTGACAAATGTTTTGTTTCATTTCTGTAGTGTGCAACATAATTTTCTACCAAATATATTTGATGTTTTAATACTAATAATAAACCCGCTTTTTATAGCATATACGTTTAAAAATATTTGGTGTTCAATATAGATATACATACTTAATATTTAAATGTTGAGCTTGAAGTTAATTCCTTACATTTTGTTTCTGATATTTAAATAGAGAGAAAGCTGCACGAACCTGGGATATCAACACAAAAATGTAATAAAAAGCATAAGACACCAATAGGTAAAGGCTAGTTATATTATATAATGTTAGTAGTAATATAAATTGTTTCTTTCACTGGCAACATGTCTCTTATGGTTCACTTTCCCATGGCAAACATAACCCACAGTCAAATAAACAAACTCCTTTTTTGGGGAGTAGTCTAAGATCTTTTATGAGAGGCTAGGGTGACCAAGAGACTTTAGTTCCCAGGTACTAATTGATAAGTTTACATATGTATAGAGCTGTGCAGTTTTATGGAAATATTTATTTGGTCCAGAGGAACTGGTGATTTTGTAATGCACCATTGCGATAATTACGTCATTTGACCTGGGAGCCTCGCTCTCATGTATCGTGAGCCAATCACCTTGTGTAATTTACCAGATCAAAAAGTATGTGTGACGTAGTTATCGAAAGGGTGTATTGGTTTTGAATTCTAAATTTTGTGCTGAGCACAAACATTAATTTCTGAGCAAAAACGTTAATTTTTGAGCACAAACATTAATATCCATTAATTTCTGCACTTAATTCTCATAATCTATTGAGATGTTTTATTATTTTGAAATTATATTATGGCTAAATGAGTAAGTGCTTTGAAATGTAGTTTACTTGACAACCCAAACTGGAAAAATTCTCAAAAAGGAAAGAACTGGAACCAAGCAAAAAATTTCTGGAACCATTCAGCTCTATTATAATTGTTTTGGAAATTATTAGTTATACCATGGACAATCAAAAAGGCATTCACATTTGTTAAAATAGAATTACAACAATACATGTCATGTACATAATTATCCAACTTTTAATTAACCATTAAAATCCCAAAATTAGTGCCTCTGGTTGTTTTCTTATAACACAATAACAATGCTTTGGTGTACCATAGACAATCTAGAATACAATACGATGTCAGGATTACCTATGCTTTAATACCCTGCACATGCTGTGGTCTATAATGTTTCGAGAAATACTAATTACAGTTTTTTCTTTGCTTGTTTCATATATATACAGAGGTTCCTACCACTACCAAATACACTAAAACCAACCTCTACCGAGACAGTGAAGGGCTGTTTGTGGAAACATTATTTCTGACCCCTTCAACAAAATCAAGCATTCTGAGCATGCTTCGAATTTACTGACCTGTGCCCAAAGTGTCCTACAAAAAAGGTCTTTGTGTGCAAAACCAAAATTTAATTCAATTGTGGACAAGCTTTGGAAAACAGCAACAGCTGGAAAAACGAGGGTTTTACCTAGCAGTCTACGGGAGAAAATGTGGAAATCATTTCATTCTCTGGCTTCAAATTCTGAATTTATTTTAGAATTTGAAGTGTACCTCACTCCTGCTTTAAGCCCACAACCAATTTCAAAGCTATTCATACAATCTCTCACTCGAAAGTTCTTTGAAAAAATTGTTTTGGCAATAAAGAAAGCTGCTGCAAAGCCTGAAAGTTCTTGTATGGAGACCCAACTGACCAACGTTGAGGAAAATATATTACGATATGCTGCTGGATATGTTCCATTTGCCTTACGAAGGCAGTGTTTAAAACGAGAACATAACAGCGAATGGAAGCAAAAGGCAAAATGCCTAGCTCAGTGCCTTAGAAGTAGAAAATGAAGACGAAGAGTTACACTCTTTTCATAAGTATACAAGATGTTGGATTGAGAAAGAAAATCTAGGTGGGCTCTTTACCCTGAATGATAAGTCATTTATTTTTCCGAGCAGTGGAATGCCACTGTAGAAAACATTTTAATCAATCCTGTCTAGGCAGTAAATGTCATGCAAATGTGTGTCAAGTTATGGGTTAACATTAGAGGCCATGCATTTGCATCCAACTGGCTCGAAAAGCTGAACAATCTACTAACAAGGCACTTCGGAAAAGCCTTAAAAACTTGTCCAACTTGACCATGAATCAGTAAAATAGTGATAAAATGTACTACAGTCTAAAGTATCCTTTCACAATATAGACAATCCACAATATAGACAATCCTGGATTGTCTATATTGTGAAATGATACTTTATCCTTTCACAATATAGACAATCCAGTTTTAATCTCCTGGGGCCTGTTGTTCGAAAAGTGGATACATAGGCTCCCGGGGAAATTTGGGAGCCCGGGGAAATTTGGGAGCCCAGGGACAAATTTTCCTGGATAAACACCAGTTAAAATTAAATCATAGACAATCCAGAAGACATGTCTTCTGGATTGTCTATGGTTAAATTAAGGTTCAAAAACACTTTTCCTTGCAAATACCTGTAAAACTAAAAACACAGGTAAAACACTTTTTCCCTGGGTGGTTCCATTAAAACACATTTGGGCCCTGGGTGGATATAGCACTATATCCAGTGGATAGCGAGTATTTCAACTTTAAAGTTTGTAAAATTGACAAAAAAGAACGGAAAAACTTTCGTTTTGGCCAACAGAATAAATATAACAGTCTTCAATCTATAAATATCAAGCGTACTTTTCTCTTGTAAAGATCATTGAAAAGTTTTATAACGTTTTCAAAAAAATCACTATCCAGTGGATAGTGCCATCATAGACAATACAGAAGACATGTACGTCTTCTGGATTTTCTATGGTGCCATCCACCTTTCAAATAACCGGCCCCTGGATTGCCAATGGTACATGTATGCCCAACAAAGCATTATAGGTTTTTAATTTTCTATGATCGGCTATACTATAGTCTTATTAACAGCTTAACTTTTTGGGGGTTTCCTTGGCCTTTTTGGTAATGGGGTGTTGTCTACAACCTCGTGCGTACAACTGCGTTTGGTGTTTCCATTCACTGAAGCAAGAGCCTGTGATCCCAATAAACGCAGACTGCTGTCGTTGTAGTTAAATTGGGCCACAGTCGGATTATCATTTCCGCCTTTCATTTGACGATGTTTACCAAAGTGCGACTCAAGAGGATCTTGATTGAATCTCTCACTCAGTATAAACTGGATGTCTCCCCTGGCCAAGAGGTTTGTTGTCAACTCAACAAACGAATTCACTAGAAAAAATTATACAATTTTGACAAAAAATGTTGATTAAAACATCCGAAGGCATTGAGTATTAGCATAGAGGATCCAGAAGACAGTCTTCTACTCGGTATTCTACTCTTCTGGATTGTCCATGCTGTGATCAGGAAACCCACCAGGTGGGACACTCAGAGATCATAATGGATAATGTCCAAACTATAGGGGTATTACAGGGGATATTTTGTTTGATGCACAAAAAGCTAGCACATGTTTTTATAGAAATGTCAATAGCACGTTTAATATTTATAAACGTTGTGAAAAGAACATCTTTGAAGAAATTTGGTGCAATAAACTGTTCTATACCAGTCATGTGTAATCCTTCAATGGTCTAATAGCTCAGTTTCATCTTAGCCTTTTGTTTTGGATCAAGATCTGGGATGCTGTCAACAGAATTTGACCACTTCTCCAAGTACCCCACAAAGTTAAGTTGAATATATATTTATTATATTGTATAAATATTGTTACAGAATTCGAAACTAATTCTACATACTTTCAATCGGGGATCGTTTATACTTCTGTATGGAGCCACATCTGGTTTTCTGCGTCTAGTAGCCTCGGTCAGTGATCTGGTGTTCAAACAATCAAAGAACTTGTCGAACATTAGAATAAAACGCACTGTGCCCTTTACACTTTCGTTGTAAAAGGCATCAAGTGCATGCGCCACAGAAGAGCTTAGGACCTATAAAAAAGCCACACAACAATTTTAAAACATTTTCCCCATTAAAGCCATGTAAAGTCCGTATTAATGTAAACAAACGCTTTGTTTACATTTTGAACTCAGTGCTATACTGAATTTTTAACACTCTTCAATTCTGGTTCGCTATGGTTGTAAATGAATACAGACTAGATATTCAATTCAAGAAAGTTCGGAATATGCGAAATATTAATAACATTCCAATAATGGTTGGGGTCGGAATGTATGCCTGAGCAGAACGTATGCTGCACAGAACAGACTTTACATGGTCTTCAAAAGTGCATTCTTTTTCCTCGATGGACCATGATGGCAGTATGAAACATTGCATTAACAGTACCTGAGCAGCTAAACGCACTTTCATTCTTGAGTAGGATGTAAGATAAATATGCTCGCATTTAAGCTTTGGTACCAACATCAATCCACCACGCTTTAGGTCATCTTTATATAGATTGACTATATGGATCCAAGATATGCTGCATCCATCATTCTAAAAACAGATTTATGTTGACATTATTTTTATAGACTGAATGTCTTTTAGTATCAAATTACTTAATAAAAACAGTTCCTATATGATCTTCTCATAAAATTATTAATTATCATACCCATAGCTGTCGTGACTTTTTGTTCCATCCACTATTCTCCCAATTGTTTCTTACTGTCTTCACCAGATGTGGTACATCAGAAAAGAAGTACGGATCTCTTTCGTCAGGGCTATAGATGTTCTTTGTTTTGTGGATAGCTATGCCTTTTTTTGACCCGTGCATCTTAATGAACTTTCTGTTTGAAGAAGCTCCATCACATGTGCTGACAGCAACTTTGAATCCAATGGTTTCCAAGTGCCTTATGGCATCCGAAACAAGAGGGAAAAGGAAATCTGCTGTAATACAATTTCCACAAGGAAAATGGGCCACTGGGTACTCGAGTGTAGTTGTAACTCCACGAACCATGAAAACAAGCATGTAGGATGCAATATCAGGCGTTCTGCTCATCTCATCTTGGCACTGCTTCTCAAACTCCACTAACGAGTTGTTAATTTCACCCAAATTTGCAAAACCAATCAGCTCGCCAGTATGCTTGCAGTAAACAAGATCATTTTGAATCTTTATTTCATCATGAAGTAGAACAGTAAACTTCTGCCAATCTTTGAGCTCTTTGTACCTCGCTTCAACAAGCAGTTGCTCAAACGTTGAGGGTTGAAACCCGGAGGACATCTTTGTCCAGTGTGTGTAGTCTCTTAGCGTTCTTTCACTTGGAAGTTTTAGGAACCCAGAATTTCGCATTACCTTGTATGCAGCAGTCGATCGCAACTTGATATTCAGACACCACTTGATCATAAGTGGGTGCCATCTCATTTGCCTTGCATCATTGCAGGACAAAGCTTTCATTTGCTGTTGCCAAAACAACTTGCGAAATGATCCTTCAGGTAGTTCCTCCTTCAAGTGGTCGCCATTCTTTAATACTTCATGTAAGTAATCATTGATTTCCTTATCTAGCATTTGTCCTTCTTTATTGATTTTCTTATCTATTTTTGATCTCAAATTATTTAAAATTCTTTTTGTAGATTTCAGTTCCTGTTGTAATGTTCTAAGTTTTTCGGTTTTTCCATCTGATGTCAAGTATCTGTAGTTGACATGGCCACTCTTCCCTGTGAAGTGACTGCTTTCTGTTGACTGTTTATGCTGCCTATCTCTCAATACATTTAGGTATTTTCTCTATTTTGAGCATTCACTACATCGATCATACTGCTGTTTTACCAACAGATGACAGTTTTTGTTTCTTAATGTGCTTTTGTAACAGGTTCCATTAACTTTAAATTCATAATTGGTATCTTTAACTACTGAAGAATAGAACACTGTGTTTTCACCAACCATACGATTGCTCCCTACAGTTGACTCTGGTTGACTGAACTCTGGATTTCCACAGCATATTTTCACTGACTGCACAGATATTAGCAACTTGCGAAGTTCTGTTGTTGTCTTGATTCGCTGCAGGATTAAGGATCCTGAGTTCCCATGTAAGGTCACTTAATATGGTTACGGATTTTGTTATCTTGGGATCCTGGGTGCAGTTGTTCTCACTTTCTTCCAGATACACAATCCTTAGCGAGTCACGGTCACTATTTGCTAATGCCCAACCACAAGGAAGATCAATGGTATCCACAGAGCTGACTAAATCCTTAAAATTTTGTATTGCATTGGTTGTACTTCTTAATGGTGTAGCAAGATCATTATAATTGTTAGAAGAGCTTGTTATATCCTGCAATATTTGTTGGTCAACTGTCGCAGGTGGTGTAGGATTTGCCTGAACAAAGCAAATAAAAGAAATTTCAATAATTAAATTATTATATATGATATATTATACCAAGAGTTCTACTTAGTATTAATGCATGGATTGAGCCCCAATGCACGCCACTTATTTTTTTGCTTGTCTAACGCCAGACGATTTTACTCGTCAATAGGAAAGCTCTGCAGTGGGTTAACCAAAAAATCTGACAATGCCTCAAGTTAACCCATTGAGCCGCAATGTGTCCTGAGTGCGCCCTACCTATTTTTTACTTGTCTAGCTGCCTGATAATATATAGTATATAGCAAATAGGTAACTACCCAGTACAGTGTGTGTCTATATTTGCCTATATTCATTTGACAATTGGCTGGCATGATGTGTGCATACAGATTGTTGAATAATATAATTAATGTGACCATGCATATTACCCTGTCAACATGTACTGAACATGATTAAGCCAGGAAACCTGTAAACTCCAGTCTACAATACATCTTACAGTTTGATCATAGACATACAGTAGCCAACATTGGTTTGATCATAGACCATCCAGAAGACAATGTATTTCTAGATTGTCTGTCTTCTGGATTGTCTATGGTTTGATTTACTCGTATATACCTTCTCACTAGTTCTTCCAAGTTTCTCCCGAATTGCGTTTTTCTTTTTCACAAAGAATTTTTTTACAGTTAAGAGGCCTTTCTTGTAAGGCATCTTTAATAAAATAACATAAATAGCATTAAATAAACATAGTTTTGCTCAACAGACAATATTATTTAATTTAAGTTGAATGCATGGATAAGCTAGATAGCAAATCAACACAAAATATCGATTCTCTGTAATCTATGAGGCCCTGTTAGGGTTTTAGGATTACGGATTATTTGGCATTTTTGGGCAGGATTACGGATTATTGCTGGTTAAAAAAAAAGATTATGGATTATCTGGATAGGATTTTAGGATTATTGATATGGAAAGATCATCTATTTTTGCTATTGAAAATAAAAATAAGAGGTACAATTTGTAAGAGGTCATAAGATGCCAGTCAATATCAATATTTTCATTATACTGGTGACACCATTAAAAGGTGCTGAAAATGTTTAATTATTGACCATTTCGCACATTTGAAATGGAACACACGCGAACTCAGGGCCGTAGCAACGGGGGGAGGGGGGGGCTGGGGGGCTGTAGCCCCCCTCCCCAATAATTTGCTAATAATCATTCTTTTTTCAAAATCATGCAGACCATTATCATTTAATCCATGACAAGCTGCAAAGAATGAAGATATTACCCATATTTTGCTGCAACTTACCCAATATATAGTTAATTAAATGCACCTTCACCCATTTAGTACTACTAAATTGTAATTTTTGACATACGAAAACGCAGAATTCTGCATCAGAATTCTGTCAAATCTTCCCCAAAGTCCATCAAATGGTATTTCAGAAACTCTAAATTAAACAATTTCCTCGGGCCTTCGGCCCTCGCTTTCAGCCCCCCCCCCCCAATCGAAAAGAGCTTCCTACGGCCCTGGAACTTCGTGCAAACACGTACACACATAAAAATCTCACAACTTGTCGACAAGATGTGTTCGCAAAAGGCTTGTAGCAAGCTCGTCCACAAGTTGTAACAATGCTGTTATTTTATCAAGTTGCTACAAGGTTGTCACTCACAATTTGTTGACAAATTGTTGGTATCAAGTTGTTAGAACAACTTGTAACACGTCTGATGAGCTCAACAACCTTGTAGCAAGTTGTCAACAAGCTGGGAACAAGCAGTGCGAACACATCCTGTTGACAAGTTGTTGGAACAGCATTGCTACAAGTCTGCTGCAGGTTTGTTACAACTTGTGCGTTTTTACGTGTGTATGTGACATGCATGAATCACACGCATGAATCACTCGAGTGTCACTTGATCTCGCGTGGAGTAATTTGAAACAAATGCAAAGAATTGCGGATAGACTTTGCGAAAAATAGAAATCCCTTTCCTCCTATTAAAATTAATGGTAAACCCTTACAAGTGGTGGAAGAAGCAAAATTACTGGGTCTTACTATCGCGAACAATTTGAAGTGGAATCAGTCAATAACATAGTGACAAAAGTTCCAAAAGGATTTACCTTTTAGTGCAGCTGAAACGAGCAAAAGTCGCGATTCAAGATGTTTTACAATTCTATACCGTATGTATCCGCCCCATTCTGGAATACGCTTCCACTGTTTGCCACTACTCTTTACCTATATACTTGAGTGATGAAATTGAACGAGTACAAAAACGGGTTCTTCGAATTGTATATCCGAACTTACATTACGAAGATGCATTGATGGAAGCTGGGATGGAGTCATTGTACGCTAGAAGGCAAATTGCCTGAAATAAACTTTTTAATCAAATTTTAAATAACCCGAACCATAAACTTCATAATTTAATCCCTAAAATAGATACTTCATTAAATTACCAATTACGAAACAACAAGAAGATACATGTCCCGAAATTCTATACTGAACGTTTTAAGAATTCGTATGTCATCGCTAGTTGTTTAGACATAAATAATCGTAATTCAACAAATTAGTGTTAGTTTTAATATTTATAATCTTCTTAGTAAGCCATAGGCATAGCATAGGTTGTAATTTTTTAAATGTAATATAATTTGTATTCAGTCTTATTTATATTGTAATCGCTTACCAATTCAGTATTTGTACTGCAAAAAGTGAATTATTAAACAATCTATCTATCTATCTATCTACTGTTCACATTTCTTTAAATTATTGAAGGGATATTTTTGTTTATAGAAATGGGATACGGATTATTTTTAAATTTTTACTTGGATTATGGATTATTCAGACCCCCCCCTAACAGGGCCTCATGTGCTAGGATTGTTCATTCGTTCATAAATACTGACAAGCAAGACGAGACATCCAGGATTAAAGAATAGTCGTAAGTCGTTAACGCAAGTTGAATCTAACCTTTAATATCCTTCTACATACGTCTTAACTTGACGTAAAACGAATGTTTTAACAATAATATCACTAAGATAAGTCCTTCGTGTAAGCTACAGTTCGCAAAAGTTCGCATAAGTTCAAGTTGGTATATTAAAACGTATTGGGTTTTTTTGTGGGGCCTGAGCACTAATATGCCCTTATACGGTTCGCAGTTACATGGCTCCCCTAAATTGTCTATTAGTAAATTTACCACTAACATAACTGAATATAATAACAACGACGATAATGTTCAATAGTTCACAGTTGGCTCCTTGTCGGGGAATCTTCACTCTTCAACGTTCTCCGCGTCTTCGACTTTAAGAAGTACAACTAGCTTCTGAAAAGGACGTTCCAAAATGGTCGCAACTCGACTTCGTTTTCCGCGTTCGTTCAACAGAGGATCTGCCACAATAAGCTTGACCTTTCGCACCAAACCATCTTCGTCCGTGTAAACTTCGTCAACGCGAGCCTTTCGCCAAAGGTTTCGAGGCGCGTTATCATCCTTGATGAGAACGATGTCGCCTACACGCAAGTTTCTACGAGGGTTGCTCCACTTCTGCCTTCCTTGCAAAGTGTTGAGAAACTCCTTACGCCAACGCGACCAAAACTGGTTGACAAGGTACTGGACTCGTCGCCATCTTTTCACTAGATACTTGTCTGCTCGCTGGAACTCGCCGGGTGGTGGGAGTAGTATTCGCGATTTCATTGTCAGGAGGTGGTTTGGGGTTAAGGGTTCCGCGTCGGTAGGAGAGCCAAGATTAGTCACGGTTAGGGGACGGCTATTTACAATAGCCTCTGTCTCGCACATGAATGTTTGCAGTGACTCTTCATCCAACTGAGTTCCCGCCTCGAGGAGGTGGGCATTCAGAACGTTGCGTGCCGTTCTTATCTGCCGTTCCCATACACCACCCATGTGACTGCTGGAGGGCACGTTCATTAGAAATTCGAACCAGTCGCATTCTTTTTCCAGTAGGAATGATCGCACCTTCTCTTTATCCATCTCTTGCAAGGCTTCTTTCAATTCGCGTCGAGCACCTGCTAGGTTTGTACCCTGGTCTGATCTGAGCTGACGAATGGGTCCGCGTCGAGCCAGGAAACGACGCAGAGCGTTGATAAAGGAATCCGTCTCTAACGACTTCGCCGTCTCGAGATGAATCGCCCGAGATGATAGGCAAGTAAACAAAACGCCGTACCGCTTTAGCTCTTTCCGACCTTCTTTAATATGCCACGGGCCAAAGTAATCAACGGCGCAGAAGGTGAACGGTGGCGCAGGTTGCAATCGATCGTAGG